CAGGATGACACACCAAAAACAGAGATAAAATTGCATTATACGCCTTTCTCAAATGCAGTACTAAGCCACGCCCTCCCCATCTCTGGGATAAGGGAATGCATAAAAGACTCCCTCTATCTCACTGCAATAATTCGAAAATGGGGATATAGAAGTCAATTTACAGCCTGCTCAACTTTGATGACGAACCGGAAGGCTCATTGAAGAAATACTTATTTGGACGAGAGAGTCCTACCGAGACCAAAGAATCTGAGGAAACAGATGAAGAAGACCGAAGACAAGATAGTCCCTTAGGAGTAATTGACCTTGAATGCGAACCACTCACAAGTGAACAGTCCAGTAAGGTACGATCTTCCAAGTCCTGATCGTACTGGTCAGAATAGGTATGTTCTCGATTTTTGTGAAATTAAAAAGTCAATTTTTCAGATTCACATTGGTCCTCTGCCGCCTTTGATAAATACGGATGCCGAAGTCCCTCTGCTAGCTCCTCCTCCGCGAACCGTGCTTATGCAACCAAGCCCTTCTGGTAACTCTATCCTTAATTGAACCGTTTTTTTTTTGTAGTTATTGTAATTATTCACTGATTCGCCTCTAGCCCTCTAGGTGATGTCTCGCGCCTATAAAAACGATGAAAAAGTTGACAAAAGTTTGTGATTTTGTGATGACACAATTCATTTTGTTAGTAAGACTAGTAGGGGCGAATCGTTAGGCCAGTTAGTGGTTCCGTCTAACAACCTCGTTTGGCAGAAGTACTTAAACATTCAATAACCAAACAGTTTCTTGCGAAGGAAGTCTAGCAGTTGCTCATTTCAGCAGCTACGCCATTACCACAGTCTGACACCCACCCCGACGACTCTGGTTATTCTGTGCAAGACCTGTTCCCGTTGGTCGGACAAACAAAACCTGCTGCTTCTAGTCAAGGTTTGTGGATAGGTCGTTTTTTTTGTAAGCAGTTACATGGCTTTCTCTCAGAGCGGCTGCGGGCTGCTCATTGCAAAATGGAGATGGGAAGGAAAATGTCGTAACCGTTTGAGATTTCTCACATCGCCTCCCTCAGACTGTACACTCATCCCGAGGACGGTCTTGGCCAGAGGAACGGGTTAGTAGCGGTTCAAGTGCAGCATATTTGTCACTTGAGAGCGCCCAGAAAAAGACAGTGATATCCGCGATCCATTCCGGACTCCGCCCACGCTGTCCTTACGGTGCAGCTTCTAGGCCAGTACCAAAGCCCCGAAGCGAACACGCAGTCAAAGGTAGAGAACAACCAAGAAGTGAGAGGACGCAGAGAAGTAGTGCGTTTGATTATAGTTAGGCATGTGGCCGGCCAAGCGGCAGCTCGGGTGAAGCCGGGAGACGACTCGGAAATCACTACCCTCCAGCTTCAATCTGGTGGAGTTTCGAGTGGATGAAGTGACACGCTAGTGCAACTGCGGACTAATTCTCCCCTCATACGACAAGGACCGGGATCCTTGCAAGTGAGTGTGCAGGTTGCTCCTGAGAACAGGTTTTTTCATAAATGAGCAGCTGATCGCCAATTCTTTCCCATTAATGGACCAATTATTGGTCAAAAGGTCCGAGTGTCAGGGTGCGGCAAAGCCAACGTTGCAAGTGGTGCTACTAACAGGCTGGTTAAGCAATACCGCACCCTATAGCTAACTTTTCATCGTCTCGGATCTCCTGACCCACACATTACCGGATACATCAGAACCCGCGCTCGAAAAATAGAGGTTCGTATCCAATTAATTATTCTAATCAGTCCACGGTAACGAAATGAACTAACTTGTTGAAAC